CAGCTGGCCACGCGCCTGCCCATGTCAGGACATGCTGTGCCCAGGGAGGTCCCTGGCAGAGCCGGTGCCTCGCCATACAGGGAGCCCAGGTGCCATCGGATCTGCTGTGGGCCCACGGCAAGGGCAGAGCTCGCAGCAGCTCAATCCTCCCTCGCTCCCCACCCACTCAATGCTCATGAGCCCGGGAAGGGCCAGCACAGGCCCTACCATCAGCATAGTCCTGCACATCGTGGAAGTCAACCCCCCTCTTCCTCCTGTCCTCCTCCAGCAGGTCGCTCTTGGTGCCACACAGGTAAATCCGGCAGCCCTGCGGCAGGAAAAGGGTTGGGAGGGGTGTGCCCACGTCCCCACCACCAGCACCCCTTGTCCTGTGGGGAGGCTTCACAGCCCCCAGCCCCCCCGTACCTCCTCACAGTTCTGCAGCTCGTTCACCCAGAACTTGGCTCGCTGGAAACTGCCGCTGTCGGTGAGATCTGGGGAGAGGAATCGGGGTCTGCTGATACTGCTCCTCAGCGCCTGACCCACCGGTGCCACCACCACCCCAGCCCGGGCCCTCTGCAGCCTCCAGCTCCTTCCCCTTCCCATTCTCCGTGCCCTTACCGTAGCAGACCACGGCAGCCCGGGCTCCCCGGTAGTAGATGCGGCTCATGGCTTCATAGCGCTCCGAGCCCGCCGTGTCCTGGGGGCGGCAGGGGTCGGAAGGTCTCAGGGTTAGGGGGTGCCAGGGATGTCTCAGGGTCAGGGGGTGCCAGGGATGTCAGCGGGGCGCTGGCACAGCCCTCGCCCCTGGACTTACCCAGATGCCCAGCGTCACCGTCTGGTCCCCCACGGTCATCACCTTGGCCACGAAAGCGGCTCCGATCGTCTGCAAGCGAAGCAAGAGGAGCGGTGGGAACCGGCCCGGGAATGCGGGGGCATCTGGCCTGGGACACACGGTGGAAACCGGCGCAGGGACACGGGGGAATTCATCCCGGGGCGTGCGGAAAGAGAGTGAGGACACGAGGGGACCGACCCGCGGGGGGGATGCGGCGGGTCCCAGCCCGGACACGGAGGGAACAACGCGAGGGGAGACGCGGGTGGCAGCACCCCGGGCACACACCGCGGAAACGGGGCGCCCACGGGCAGCGCGCGGGGCTGCCACGCGAGGGGCTCATCCCGGGCCCGGGAGGTGCCGGTGTGCGACTCACGTTCTGGTAGGGCCCGGCGCGGAAGCGGCCGTGGGCGCAGCGCTCCACGAGGCTGCTCTTGCCCACCCCCTCCTGCCCCAGCAGCACCACCTTGGCGTCCACCCGCCTCCCGCTCATCCTCGCGCCGCCGCCGCCGCCGCCGCGGGGCGGGGCCGCACCGGGCGGGGCGGGGCCGGAACCGGGCGGGGCGGGGCCGGAACCGGGCGGGGAGTGGCGGAAGTGCGCGGCGCGGCGGGGCGGGCCGGGGCCGCATGGCGGCCGCCCAGCAGGCGCGGGCCTGAGCGGCGGCCCCATGGGGAAATACTGCGCCAGCCTGGGCGTCCTCAAGGGGCCCTGGGACCAGGTGTTCGCCGCCTTCTGGCAGCGCTACCCCAACCCCTACAGGTGCGCCGGGGCCCTCCGCGCCCCCCTCCCGCCGCTCGGTCCCACCGGCGGTTGCTGCCGCCCCCCGTGCCCAGCCCAGCCCTGTCCCCGGCGGTCCCGCGGGCTCCGGCCGGCGGGGATGGGTGTCCCGCAGCCCAAACGCCCAGCGGGCCCTCGGTTCCTCCCTGCCCGCCGTAATTCTTCAGTTCCTGGCGATTCCCAGCCCCGGGGCAGAGTCGGCGAGGAGCAGGGCGTGATGTTTCCTTCCCCGTTTTAGCAAACATGTCCTGACCGAAGACATCGTGCACCGGGAGGTGACGCCGGACCACAAGCTGCTCTCTCGGCGGCTCCTGACCAAGACCAACCGGATGCCGCGCTGGGCAGAGCGATTCTTCCCAGCCAATGTCGCCCACTCCGTCTACATCCTGGAGGACTCTATCGTGGACCCCAAGAACCGAACCATGACCACGTTCACCTGGAACATCAACCACGCTCGTCTGATGGTAGGCGCTGCTGCTGGGCGGGTGTGCGGGGGGGTCCCAGCGGTGCCCACGGCCGGCTGTGCTTCGCGCAGGTGGTGGAGGAGCGCTGCGAGTACCGGGTGAACCCCGAGAACAGCAACTGGACCGAGGTCAAGCGGGAAGCCTGGGTATCTTCCAGCCTCTTTGGCGTCTCGCGGGCCATCCAGGTGAGCTCAAGCAGTAAAGCTGCTGCTCACCCCCGCTCTACCCTTTCCTTGTGCTGATTTTTACACCCTTTCCCGTTGTTCCCCCCCATCCTCATGAGCTCTTGAGGCTCCCAGAACCATCACTGTGAAAGTCAGTGTGACTTTTCAAGCTGGGACAAAGCCCCAGGGGCTGTGTGTGACAGGGCTCGCACCTTCACTGACTTTTCTCTTGCAGGAGTTTGGTCTGGCCAGGTTCAAAAGCAACGTGACCAAGAGCACTAAGGGATTTGAATACGTGCTAGCAAAAATGCAAGGTGGGCACCAAGGGCAGGCTGAGCGGGATGGGTCTCTTAGAGTTAGAGGTCACTCTGGGAACACTCCAGTCCATGGGCAGGTTGTTGCTTGAACTGATCTGACTGTGAAATCCTCACGCCTTGCCTTTGCCCTGTGTCTTGGCACTGCCTGCTCTTCCCGAGTGGATCAGACCAGCAGTGATTGCAGGGTCGGGCAAGGGTGGAGCGCAGGCAGGAGGGGAGGAACATGGCAACAGTCACCTGCCTGTGGTTCCCCTTTGCGACGTGCTCTGACGTGCTGGGGTCAGGAACACCGGGCTCATCTTCCTCCCTGTGTGGGGAAGTGCCTCGGTGGCAGGGCCGGTCTAGCCGGCACTCCTGTGGGGTTAATGGCTTCCATGTTGTAGGAGAAGCTCCATCCAAAACACTGGTGGAGACAGCCAAGGAAGCGACCGAGAAAGCCAAGGAAACAGCTCTGGCTGCTACAGAGAAAGCCAAGGACCTGGCGAGCAAGGCAGCCACCAAGAAGAAGCAGTACGTGTGAGGGGCCAGCTGCACCAGGACAGATAGGAGACTCCTTAGATTTTATATTTTTAAAGAAACTGTATAAGTCTGACAATCAGCTGCTGCTTGACCCTTTCTGAGATGTAATTATCATTAAAGAATCTACTCCCACCTCTGATTTGGCTGAGGCTGGCCTGGCTAGAGCAGAGCCCAGTGCTCTGTAGGGAAGACACAGGCCAGGGTTTTACCAAGTGCCTTTACTATAAAAGGGTCGGGTCTGTACAAAAGAGGGGTGGCTGCAGGAGCATGAAGGCATGTTGCTTAATGCACTCATTTCCCCTTCCTGGCTCTCCAGGGGCAGGAGAGCCTTTCTGTAGTCATGTCTGCAGTGGGCAGCACCACCCCATTCCCACACCAGGCAGCCCCCAGACTGCCCATGGGTGCACAGGGGGAGGCAGGAGGGTGTCCTCAGTGACAGCTGGGCCTTCATCCAGCACCTCTTCCAGTGCCTTGAGGTGCACAGCAGGTGCCACAGCACAGCCCAGCCCCATGCACCCAGTGCCACCCAGCTGTGGAGGGGTAAAGCCGGACTCTTGCCTCCATCTGTGGCCCCTTAGCCTGGCAGCTGTGATGAGGCTGGCCGGGGCTGGGTTTCCAGCAGGAAAGAGGCAGGCAGGCAGTGCAGGGAAGGCAGCGGGCACCGTCAGGATGCGGGGCTGTGGGGGCTGGAGTAGCTGTGGTCCCTCCCGGTGCCAAAGCTGGGCAGCAGGTCCCCGCTGAGCACCACACCATCCACCTCTACCTCGGCATCCTCTGGGCACGGGGGAAGGCCGGGTCAGGCCTGTAGCTGCTTTCCCTCCCTGCCCACCCTCGTTCTTTCCCCTTTCTTACCTTCCTCGGAGGGCTCTGAGAGCCGGGACGAGTCCAGGCTGTCAGCCCGTGCCCGTTCCCCATCAGCGGGCAAGAGCAGCGATTCCAGCCGCCGCTGCAGGCTCCGCTGCCGGTCCCGCAGCCGGTCCTTGGCCCTTCGTGCCCTCAGTTCCTGCTCCTGCAGCCTCTGTGGGGACCCGGTGAGCCATGAGCTGGGTAGCCCTGTCGCCACACAACGACCTCCTGAGCGATGCCGGTGCCACCACCCCTCTCACCTGGATGTGAAGCCGGGCACGGTGCAGGAGGCTCAGCGTGGTGGAACGGGACGGCCCCGCGCCCACCGGTACCTGCTGCTTCAGCCGCTCCAGGCAGCACCGGAGCTGCGCTCTCCTGCGGCCGGGCAGGGCAGGGGAGCAACACGGGGGTCAGCCACGGAGCGGCACGGGCTGTACCACCGCCTGCCCCGCCGCTCTCCCATACCCACCCATACCTGTGCTTCTCCAGCGCGTTGTGCACCGACCTGCGGAAGAGACCGGGCTGATCAGCGCCGCCGCCACCGACAGCCACCGACCACCACCGCCGCCGTTCACCCACCGCTTACCTGCCGCTGCCCACGGCCCGGCGCGCCGGCGCAGGGCAGACGGCGGCGTAGCCGTGCTCGGCGTCGGGCGGGCCGGGCGGGTGCCGGTGCTGGCGGTGCTCCAGGAACTCGGCCGCCTGCAGCAGCACCTGGATCCTGCTGCCCGCGGCCGCCATGGCGGGAGCGCGGGGGGGGCCGCCAGCCGCGCGCTCATTGGCTGCGGGGCGCCCCGCGCCGCTGACGTCACCGCGGCGGGCAAACAAATTCAGGCGGGAAAGCGCGTGCTTCAAATTTGAATCGGCGGGAGGGGACGGCGCGGGCCACGCCCCCTCGGCGGCAGACCACGCCCCGAGCTGGGCCACGCCCCCGAGCTGGGCCACGCCCCCTGGCCAGGCGCGCCCCCGGTGACGGGCGGGAGCGCGCACGGCCGTGCCCGCGCATGCCGGAGCGCGCACCCCCTGCTGCCCCCAGCCCCTCGTCCCACGCGTGTCCCCGCAGCGGGGATCGCCGCGGCCCAGCGCCACACGGCCCACACAGACGGGTTTATCGCTTTATTAAAATCCATCCCGTGGAGGCGATAGGGAGGGAAGGGGAGCGCCGGGCCCCAGCCCCCGGGCACGGCACGGCACGGCACGGGCGGCCCCGGGGCTCCCGCTGTCATGTGAGGGCTGTTCTCAGGCCAGGCCCCGGGGGGAGACTCTGTCCCGGGCCCAACAGCAGGCAAAGTTCACCTGTAAAAAACCACCACGAAGCACATTTCCAGCCGGGGGGCAGGTGCACGGCAGCAGCAGGCGGCTCACCCAAAGCACAGCAGCCGTGGTGCACCGGGAGAGGCGGTCCTGCGCCCACCATCACTCCGCGCGGGCTGCCACCGTGTGCGGGGTCCTGCCCCTGCAAACCGGGGGGAAGCCTAAAACCAGGCGGGGGGGTCCTGCTGCCATGCCCACCAAGCTCGGAGGAGCCGAGGTGCTGCCCCGCAGCCCCGAGTGGCCCTGGGCACCCAGCTGTCCTGTGATGCAGGTCTGGCACAGGGGCTCTCACTGGCTCCGGGCACAGCGCGCTGTGGGCGGGAGGTGTGTGGTGTAGCAATGGGTGCAGACACGTACGGGTTTGGTCTGGCCGTAGTAGGGCAGCGCCGCAGTGTTCGGTGAGCAGCGGGCACAGAAGATCTGCCGAGAGGCCAGAGAGGGGCTGAGCAGAGCTGGGTCCCTCGGGGACCCCACACGCCCCATCCCAACCCCGTCCTACCTTCCCACAGCTGCGGCAGTGGTGCCGGCGGCGCAGCAGGGTGAAGGGCGAGCGGCAGGCAGAGCACTGGCTGCATGTGCTGTCGGGCACCCACTCGGGCAGGTGGCGGGCACCTGCTGGGCGAAAGACATCGGTAAAAGCCCCTCAGGCTGGCTCCCCTCACAGCCAGACCCCCTAAGGCAGAATGGGGCAGGATCAGCCCCAGCCTCACACCCTGCCCCAGAGCCACAGCACCTGGGCAGCCGCTCACCTGCCCTCCGGAGCCTGGCAGCCTCTGCAGGGCTGGAGCACAGTGGGCAGTCAGCCACGCAAGGAGCATCTGTCACAGAGGAGTCACCACCTTTCTCTTCTGCGGGGACAAGGGTTGGGTCCAGCCAAGCTGGAGCTGGGCGGGCACGATGGCCACGTTTTTCCCAAGCCTAGGGCTGTGGCCTTGTCTCACCAGGGATGGGTGAGGGGCAGGGCAGAGAGGAGCAGTCCCACATGTCCCTGGGGATTACTCACTGCTGTAACTCTGCTCCTCTGAGGGCTCCGCCTGCGTGCACACAATCTTGAAGACAGTTTTCAAGATGCTCCTCATGTCACTGGCAAAGTTGGTCTGGAGCTGATCAGCCACCCCTGCACCAGGAGGGTGGGGGTCAGGGTGCTGGGGGGATCAGGTGCTGGGGGGTTGGCTTGGGGGTCACTCACCTGAGATGCAGACGAAGAGGGTGTGCAGCATGTCCTTGGAGCTGCTGTAGCGGGAGCGCAGCTCCGAGCAGCGGGCACCTGAGCTGGCATTGACCCCCATCCCTGGGCCGCTCCCAAGGGGCTGGGGACTGTGCAGGGGGGAGGTGACCATTACACCAGGGATGGTGTGAGATTTGCCATCTTGGTCCTGCTCCCTGCCCACCGCACACCCCTGCTGCCAATCAGTGCCCAGGCCATCCACTGCTCTGGGGGGTCCCAGTCGTGTCGTGCAGGTGGGGAGAGGTTGGGTGGCATTAGGAACCTCCAGAAGACTGAAGGGAGCAGGAGGGTCCACACTGGGCACAGCTGCCCCCCCATCTGGACTGCAGGGATCCTCCTGTTCGGCTGTGCACAGGCTCCTCTCCAGCAGGCAGAGCTCCTCTGCTGACAGCACCCACAACAGGTCCCTGCGGTGAGGGGTTGGCGTCAGCCCCATGTCACAACCCCATTGCTGCCCCACAGCCTCACCCATGGCCCCTCACTGCACACCTGATCTTCTTCAGGAGGCTGTAGAAGGGGCTGAAGACCCGGGACATCTCCTCAGGGCTCCGCTCCAGGCTGAGGGGACCCTCAGGGTAGATGAGGAGACCACTGTGAGGAGACAGAGCCCAGCTCATGTCAGGGGCTGCCTGGGACCCCAGCTCCCCATGAGGAGAAGGGCTGGTACAGGGCAGGGAACATACCCCTTCTCCAGGGGCTGCACCCACCTGATAATGGCCAGGCGAGGGATGGTGAACATCAGCAGTGGTTCATAGCCATCAATCATCTCCTGGGTCAGGTAGCCCAGGTGCAGCGCTCTGGGGGCACACAGACACCCTTACAGTGGATCTGAGCCTAGGGATGCTGCCCATCCTTGGGGCTGGAGTCCTTGCAGCCCCCACCTGACACACAGTGCCCCTCACTCACCTCTCTACTGTCTCACAGAAGAGCACGATGATCTCCTGCTGCCTGTAGATCTCATCAGGAGACTTCACTGCCACCAGCGAGGACACGTAGCTGGAGAGATGGGGAGACTGTGAGGGCCCTACAGTCCTGGCACAGCCCACCGTGACCCCAGCACCCTACCCCTGCCCCTTACCTCAGCTCAAACTCTGCAAACAGACGGTCAAATTGGATGAGCACAGCCCGCACAGGCTCTGGGTAGGAGCTGGGCTGGCTCAGGCTTTGCTCCCGCAGCACTGTCCGGACCAGCTCCAGGCTGCACAGCAGATTCCTGGCCTGGGGCCGCAGCTGGGCCCCATCTGACTCCTCCATCTCCAGGAAGGTCCCGGCCAGGAGGCACTGCCGGGAAAGGCACTGTCAGCAGCCAGCACCAAAGGCAATGCCTAACCCCAGGGTCAGCTCATGGTGGGGTGTCCATCGCCCCGTGCTCACCTCGGCAGCAAACAGCATGTGGTTCCCCAAGTTGTCCACCAAGAGCTCCTCGGGGAACTTGACCAGGTAGTCACGGCTGTGCCGCTGCGTGGGGATGCACTCCTCCATGATCCGCTCCAGGACGGCCAGCAGGTGAGCCTGGGGACGGCAGGGGTGTCACCCACGGCTTCCCGGGGGGACGGAGTCACAGCGGGGTGCGGGCTGCCCCCGTACCTGGCTGAGGTGGAGCTGGTTGAGGAGCACCAGGTACTGCTGTGGATCCAGTTCGGCATCCAGCCCGTTGATCTCGGCCACCACCCGTGTCACCCTCTCGTCGGCAAAGAAGAACTGGGAGAGCAGGCGTGGGTCGGAGCGCTGCGGGAAGAGCAGGGGGGTGATGGTGTGGGCACCCCGCATCTGCATCTGCTGCTTCAGCGGGATCCCAAACCTCCCATTCCCACAGTCGCAGAGGGATCGGACCCCACGGATCCACGAACACTCCTCCCGGGGAGCGCCGCCCTCCCCACCCACCCGTGCCTCAGTTTCCCCGGGGGCAGAGCTGGATGAACAAGCTCAGCCGCATCCGGGCAGCTTTGGCACCGATCCGTGCGTGGCTCTAAACACCGGCAAAGGTCCTCCGGAGTCCCCCCGCTTCCTCCTCCCGCTCCACCACGAGGGACCGCGGCCGCCCTCACTGCTCCCGTGATCTCCGGAGCTCCTGGATCGCCCCGACGGGGCCGGTCCGGGGGCTCCGCCGGTCCCGGGCGCAGGGAGGGCGGCCCCGGTGCGCACCCCCGGTCTCACCTTGGGTCGGCGGAGCCATCGGCGGAGGGCAGCGGGCAGCATGGCGCGTCCCGCAGCTCTGCCGCCGCCCGGCTCCCCGCGCCCGCCGCTCGCCGACGGGGCGGGCCGGCACCGGGCACCGCCCGGGGGCGGATCGGAGCGGTGTCCGCCCAGTCCCGGCACCGGGTCGACCCGTCTGCTCCTCGACGGACCGGTTCTCTGTGATGGGAAGGGTGAGGGCGCGTCTGCCGTGGGGCGGGATGGGTTTCACCGCCGACTTTCCTTCCCGGTCTTGGTTCCCGTCTCAAATTCCCGACTGCATCCCCGGCTGTCCTCCCCCCGTTTTCTCTCTCCCCGCAGCCCAACCTTCCAGGGACAGGGACACCCCAGCGCTTCCCACAGCCCGCCGAGCACTCCCGAGTGATGGGAAATACCGGGAGAAGGACCCGCAGGCATCTTCACCGTGCAGGGCATGGGGTGCGGAGCGGGGTAATGCAGTGGGAAGGGGGTAAAGTGGCCCCTCGGTGGGAAAAAGAGGAACTAAGTGGCCAAGAAGAGGTGCCGGGGGAGGGGTACACGGGGTGTTGGCCACAGCAAACCACGCCAGCTGTGTCAAAGGAAGTATTTGCTCCAGAGCTGGCACTGCTGGCTACAGGATGTGGGTACCGATAATTCAGGTGGCTGAAAGCCTAATGGGGTGGATTCATGGGTAAAGAATCCGTGGAGGATGGTTGAACAAACACGGCAGTGGCACGTCCTCGGCTTCAGAAAGTCCCTGAGTCATGGCAGTGCCCAGGCTGCACCGGACGGGTGCAGGTGTGGGGCTGGCCCCGGTGTTGGGGCTCCCTGTGTACCCCACAGACTCTGGCTCTGTTTTCAGACATGTCCTGGTTCCCGCGGATGGGGATCCCTGAGCACACAGTGAGACTGGAGCCCTGCTTGTCCCACAGGCCCCTGAAGATCTGGGCACCACAATAAAAAAGAATAAAGCTATTAGAGAGTGTCCAAAGGAGACTGCAAAGAGTCTAGAGGGGATGTCACATGAAAAGATGCTGAAGTCCCTTGGTCTGTTCAGTCTGGAGAAGAGGAGCCTGAGGAGAGACCTCCTTATGGGATGCAGCTTCCTCAGGAGGGGCAGCCGAGGGCAGCTCCAGTATCTGCTCTGTGACAGTAACAGGACCTGAGGGAATGGCTAGAGCTGTGTCAGGGGAAGTTTAAGTTGAATATTGGGTTCTTCGCCCAGAGGGTGGTAAAGCACTGAACAAGCTCCCCAGGGAAGTGATCATGGCCCCAAGGCTGACAGAGCTCCAGGAGCATTTGGACAATGCTCTCAGTCACAGGGTGAGATTCTTGGGGCTGTCCTGTGCAGGGCCAGGAATCACAGAACAGTTTGGAAGTGACCTTAAATTGTTCTATTCCACTGCCATGCACAGGGACACCTTCCACCATCCCAGGTTGCTCCAAACCCCGTCCAGCCTGGCCGGGAACACCTCCAGGCATGGGGCAGCCACAGCTTCTCTGGGTACTCTGTGCCAGGGCCTCCCCACCCTCACAGGGAAGACTTTTTTCCTAATACCTAACCTAATCCTGCTCTGTTTCAGTGTGAACCCGCGGAGCTGCACTCCGATGATCCAGCGGGGGATGCGATCGCGGCGCGGTCCCGCTCTCGGCTGAGGCAGCGGCGCCCTGAGGGCCGCGGGGCGCGGGGCCGGACTCGAACCCGCGGTGCTGCCGCCGCTCCCCCCCCGTCCGCCAGGGGGAGCAGCGCTGCCCTCTCGCAAGATGGCGGCGGCGGCTTCACCTCCCCGAGCGTTTCCCCCTCCCTCCCTCCCTCCTTCCCGCGGGCAGGGGCCGGACGGGCCGCGCCGCCATATTGGCTGTTGTCCTGGCTGCGGCGGGCTCGCCATGACTCGCCGGCGGAACAAGGCGGCAACGGCGGCGGCAGCGGCGGCAGGTGGCTCCGGGCCTCGCCGTGACAGGATGGCGGGTCCCGACGTCGGGCCTCCCCCGCCTCCACCACCACCGGAACCGCCCGCCACGCCTGAGGTGGCGGCGGCGGCGGGCAGCGGCGGGGAGTCGGGCAGAGGCAGCGCGCAGGTACCGGGGTAGCGCTGCGGCGGGCACGGGGCTGAACCCGAGCGGGGTTCAGCCTGGGCGGCGATGGGACCCTGCGCCTTGCACCGCATCCCCCCGGGCCCTGCCCCATCCCCGCCCCGACCCCCGACTCGGAGCATCCCTGCGGATGGGGCTCGGAGCGTTCCCGGAGCGGGAGGGCCCGGCCCTGCCCCAGCCCCTCCACGGCACTGCCACAGCCCTATCCCAGCCCTGCCCCAGCCCCTCCACAGCCCTGCCCCAGCCCCTCCACGGCACTGCCACAGCCCTGTCACAGCACTGCCACAGCCCCTCCAGAGCCCCTCCACAGCACTGCCACAGCCCTGCCCCAGCCCCTTCACAGCCCCTTCACAGCCCTGTCACAGCCCCTCCACAGCACTGTCACAGCACTGCCACAGCCCTGCCCCAGCCCCGGCACAGCCCTGCCACAGCACTGCCCCAGCCCTGCCGCTGGGCGATGGCAGGTGGCTCCAGCATCCTCATCCAGCGCCCTTCTCCCCGCTGGACACACCTGGCTGCCGCCACCTGCTCCGGGTCGTGGGCAGGGAGGCGGGGGTGGGCGCCGGGTGTGGATGTGCTGGGTGGATTGGGGACAGCCGCGGTGTCGCCAGCCGTGGTGTCACCCGCCATGGTAGCTGTGTCAGCTGGCACACGGGGTGGCCCGGTTGCTCGCCCCTCGCCGTGGGTGGGCAGGGGGGCTGTGGCCCCGCTCTGCTCTCCTTGGCCTCTGACCTTTGCTTCACCTTGAGGCTGCAGACGCCATCTGTTTGGCAGCAGCAGTTCAATGCACGGCTCATTGTGGCGGGGCCCCGCTGCGCCGGCAGACAATGGGGGCCCCCTCGCCCGCGCCACGCCGGGCTCGTCACGGCTGTCAGGGCTCCAGCAAGCCCGAGGGATGCAGCCCAGCTCCTGCAGGGAAGCCCCAACCTGGCCGTGCCTGTTCGGGGACAGCGTGAAGCAGCACGGGGGGCTGCACCCCACCCTGGCGCATCAGCACCGCTGGCTGTGCAGAACAAAGAGGCAGGAGAGAGGGCTTGGGGCTCTTGGGTGACACAGTGCCCATCTTTGATGGGCAAGGAGGGAGAGCTGAGGCTGTTGGACCCACCCTTCATGTCCCTGTGTGGGATTTCTGTGGGTCTTGCTTTGCCATGCAAGTACTGTCAGTCTCACTGTACCAGAGGTGATGGTGGGAGTTGCTGATTTCTTCCCAGCTTTGCTTGGTGACAAGGCTGGCTCTTTGGCATGCTGTGATCTTCCCAGAAGTCCAAACACTCCCAAGCTAGCACATGGCAGGTTGGCAGCAGCTGGTCAGCCTGAGGCTGCTCTGCTCCAGTGGGAGAAGGTGTAATACCACATGTAGCCTCTAAGAATTCCCTTGGTTTGGTGTCAGCATCCTGAGGTCTCTTTCACTGTCTCGTCTGCCCCACATCTGCGCCGGATCACACTTGGGTGACTCACAGTCTGTGTGTCCTTCCTCAGGTGCTGCCCACCGCCAACCAGTCCGTGCAGACGTGCTGCCTGCTCTGTCACCGGGAGCGCAAGGACTGGGGAGGGCCGTCCCACAATGGGCTGGTTTCCCCAGGCGAGAGGCTGCCACCAGACTTCGTGCCAACGCTCGTGCAGAACCTCCTGGGAGAAATGCCACTGTGGATCTGCCAGAGCTGCCGGAAGAGCGTGGAGGAGGAAGAGCGACGGGCGGTGCAGGAGCAGGCCCTGGCGGTACGCGGTTACGGTGCTGGGGTTTGAGAGCCGGGGCTGTAGCTGTAGGAGCAGGGCACTGACCAAACTGTGGTACTGATGGGTGTGTGGGTCCCATCCTCACCCTGAGCTGAGTGTCCCAGACATCCCAGCCTTCACTTCCCTGCCCAGGGCTGCCTCCAGCTCAGCAGGGACAGGCCCTGTTGGGGCAGTGCGTGGTGCTGTGGAGGCTCATCAAGCAGCTTGCCATGGCTTGGAGCTGCCAGGCTGGCAAGGCTGACAGTGCCACTGCTTTCCTGCCAGCCCCGCTCTGCTGCGCGTTGTGCCGCGTCCCCCAGCCCCAGGGCTGCTCCCTTCATGACGCAGAGAGAGGCAGTGGCTGCCAGGGCAAGTGCCTGCTTGTGCATGGGACTCGGTAGAGGAGCTGGCTCATGCCTGGCTTTATTTAACCCTGCCCTGGTGTGAGTGGGACCAGCACAGGCGTGTGGCCCTTGGCATGGCCCAGCCTCTGTGAGCCACCAGTGTTGGTGTTGGATGGAGGGGGTGTTTGCCACTCCCAAAGCAATGATAAAAGTGGTTCACATGAGCTGAGCCCCTGCTGCAGTGGAGGGAGTCTTGGTGCTGACACCTGAGGGCCAAGGGTGTCCCCTCAAGCCACTTCATTCTGTGTTTCCTTTGATAGGTCTCATTATCCCACACATCCTGCAAGTCGCAGTCTTGTGGGGGTGGCTCACACTCCTCTTCCTCCTCCTCCTCGTCTTCTTCCTCTTCGTGCCATGGGAACTCAGGGGACTGGGACCCCAGCTCGTTTTTGTCTGCTCACAAGCTCTCGGGCCTCTGGAACTCGCAGCACACCAACGGGACCGTGCAGGGCAGCCCCCTTGGGACTCCCCCAGCTGCACTAGGTGAGCTGAAGCCGGCTATGGGGTTGAGCAGAGGTTTCTGCCCAGTTCTTGGTTTAAGTGGTTACCTTGTGGGCAAGGGTGGGCAGGCTGGGCCTCTGAATCTCAGTACCAGCAGCATATTGGACCCCTTTGAAAAAGACACAGGGTGCTGGGATTCAGCCCCAGCTCTGCTTTCCTCCCAGGCAACAAGCTGCCCAACCTTCCTCTGTATCCGGAGTGCACCAGCCAGGTGTCGGCCATGGCACCGGGGCTGAAGGCCTGTCCCTACAGCCACACGGCCTCTGCCACCTCCAGCAACGCCACACCGGGCTCGCCTCTGCCTACCTCACTCGACTTCTGCAAGACGCTGCCGAAGCAGTTCAAAAGCTTGTGCCGGAGGACCACCCCGCCAGGTACGTGCCCAGGGACAGCACCAGCCACA